AGAATTGTTAGCAATTATACATGCACTAAAAATTTGGCATATATACTTAGAAGGAAGATGCTTTGAAGTTGTAACTGATCATATATTGTTAAAATATTTGCAAATCCAGACAAAGCTATCAAGAAGACAAGCAAGGTGGTTAGAAACCTTACAAGCCTATGATTTTACAATTAGGTACTACCCGGGCAAAGCAAATACAGTGGCGAACGCTCTTTCAAGAAAACCTGAATTAAATATAATTAAATCGATTAGTTTGGATATAGAAATTTAAAGAGAAATTAAAGAAGAATATAAAGAAGATACATACCTAAAGAAGGTGATAACGGCACTTGAAAATCCTATAGGTAATGAAGCAAAACAGTTGGGAAAGAAACTAAATCATTATAAATTACAGAATGAATTGTTATTTCTGGTAGAAAGCCCAGAAATTCAACAATTATGTATTATAAAAAAATCAAAAATTCAAATGCTATTGCTCAAAGAATATTATGATAAAAATAGGCATTTCAGTTTTAAAAGAACCTACAAATGTATTAAATGAAATTATTATTGGAAAAGGATGAGCAAAGATATAAAAAAATATATATGTACATGCGATAGTTGCCAAAGAAATAAGAGTCTAAATCAAGCACCAGCAGGGTTGTTGCAACCTCTCGAAATACCAATCCAACCTTGGGAAATGATTTCAATGGATTTTATAACTCACCTTCTACATACTAAGAGTGGGAATGACTCAATTCTAGTTATAGTAGATAAATTAAGTAAAAGGGCAAGGTTCGTACCAACAAGAACCACCGTGACAGCCCTAGAAGTAGCACAATTATTTTTTTAAGAGATATTCAAACATCATAGACTGCCCAAGAGTATTATTTCAGATCGTGACCCCAAATTTACAGGCATATTTTGGAAAGAACTCTTTAAAATAATGGGAACAGAATTGAGAATATCAACATCAAATCATCCTTAAACAGAGGAAAACCAAACAAACTAACCATATACTAGAAGAAGTATTACGAGCTTATGTTAATTACAAACAAGATAATTAGGAACAAATTTTAACCATAGCAGAATTTGTATACAACAATACTTACCAAATATCAATGGGTTTTGCTCCCTTTCAGTTAGATCACGAACATCACTTATTTACACCTAGTAGCATGTTAGTAAAAAAAATTACAACTACAAACGTAAAGGCTGTTAATAAGCTGCATCAACATTGGTCTACAATGTTAAGTATAGCTAGAGATACATTAATAGAAGAGCAAGAAAAGCAAAAAACATATGCTGACAAAAAGAGATATTTTTGTGAGCTAAAAGAGGGAGAAATGGTATTAGTAAATGCAACAAATCTGACAACACTGGAAAATTTGAAAAGATCGTCAAAAAAACTTACGCAGAAATATATTGGTCCATTTAAAATTACAAAAATAATTTTCTCAACCACTTATCAGGTCCAATTGCTTAACACCTTACGTGTTCATCCAATATTCTATATTTCATATTTGAAACCTTACAACCACAACGAATTGGAAGGAAGAGAAATTCCACCACCACCACTATTGTTATTAGGCTCGAATTTGGGCATAGAATATGAGGTCGAAACCATTTTGAACAAGAGGAAATACTATCGTCAAACACAATACCTAGTGAAGTGGAAAGGTTATCCTTTGCATGATGCTATATGGGAACCTCTTAAAAACCTTAGAAATTGTAAACGGTTGATTACTGACTTTGAAAAAAAATCGGGGTTTTCTTTAAGTGGTGGAGATTGTAGTGAAATAGATTAACTAGAGCGTGATTTGTGCAATAATCATGATGATCGTAGCAAATGTGATCTGTGTAATGATCATGATGATCATAATGAACGTGATTCATGTAATGATCATAACGATCATAAGTATAATGATCATTATGATCGTGATAGTTGTGAATCATAACCCAAGAAGTCCCGACAATTGCGTAATTATTAGGTAGTTAGTTAGTAATGGAAGAATTGAGCATAAGGTCGAGTTAGGTAAATTAAATATGCGCATTAGAAATGTAGTCATAAAAAAATTAGTAAAAGCAATATATAAATATAAAAGGAAAAATAAATAAAAAAACTACACACTTACCTTTGCTAAACGATCTTGATATCATATTACAAATAGACAATAAAATAGATATTTTAGGGTTGCTAAAACAAACATTTCAAATACTGAAGAAAGCTATTTATTCAAGAGCAAACAAACTACAGAAGCTTTTTGTCAAGTGCAAATAAGGATAAGAAAAAGGCTTAGAGGCTGGTTTCTTGATAAATGAACAATTAGAAGATATATAGAGCAAGTAAATAAAGTAAATAAATATATAATCTCAGTTAACTTAGTGCTTAAGCAACTAGAGATTATAATAATTATGCTCTATATTTCTCTAAACAATAAGCAGAAGAAGAAGATAGCTTATAAAACAATTATTGAAAAATATATCAATCACTCTTTTAAATCTCAACTGATAGTAATAAAAAACTTCAATAACATTATTAACCCAAAGCTCAACAGAAGACCTAGTCTAAAATAGACTAAGAGAGATCTTATTCTAAACTAGCTACAAAGACAAGAGTTTCTAGATATATTTTGAATCTTATTTTTAAAAATCTAAAAATTTATATAGTTCAATAAAGAGACAAGCACAAGAATAGACCAAATATAGATATCTGATGAGCTTTCTTATGGTTTATTTGATACAGAAATTCAAGAAATAGATATCTATACAAATAGTAACTATGCTGCAATAATAGCCAAAATTGATCTAAAACATCTGGTCACAACCCAAAATGCTGCAGCTTGTAAAAAAGAAAACAAACAAGAACAATATTTCTCTGTACAAGCTAACAGAAAAATTAGAAAGATTATAGAAAGCAGATAGACAGTTTGCTAAGAAAAAGTATAGCTATACAAAACTTTCTAAAAAGAACCTAACAACAGAAAAAAACACTAGAGTTAGATTTGCTATAGAACAATATGAACAAAGTGGTAATAGTATTAGCAAGATGTATAACACGATATAAAATAAGAAAAAGAGCTCAAAGGAGTTTAAGCTATCATATTCTATAATGCAGTTGGGAAGATAGATAAATATTGAAAGAGAGAATATTAGATTAGGCTTTATTCATAACAATATTTTAGATCTGATCGCAGAAATAGAATTTATAAACCAGCAATATAAAACAAGTATTAATAAAGTGATAACTAGCTGGTCATATAATTTGATTAATAATCTTAAAAGCTAGTAGAAAATTTTCTTTGCAAGAAAAGCAAACAAGATCAAGTAGCCAAGAAGAAAGAAAATAGAAGAGAACATTAAAAAAATATCAAATGATTAATAGAAAATAGGGTAAAATAATAACAAACTTTTTGAAAAAGTTTTTCAAGAAAATTCAAATTAACAGATTACTGGTAGAAAAAGATATTCAAAAAGAACTTATAATGAACCCAAGAGAAGTGCTTGTCAAGACCAGAAAACATTTTTAAGAACAATTCAGATCACACTATTTTGATTAAGAGCTATAGGAAAGCAATTGGAAGAAGCTTTATGAACTAATAGAAGAAATACAAGAAGATTGGTATAATGATCTTAATCAAGATATCACAAAAGAAAAATGGTCTGATATATTAAAAGGTTTGAAGAAAAAGACAACACTTGGGTCTCTGAAATTATATATACATTAATTAAAGCAGCAAGCTCTCAAGCACAAAAGATTTTTTATTTTTTTGCAGAAAGCTGCATTTTACTAGCAAGGTATCTATAAAATAGAAGATATCACAGATATATCCAATTCCAAAAGACTCAGATTGGTGCTACAATCTAAACAATAACAGACTAATAGCACTTTTAAAAACTTTTAAAAAATATGTAACAAAAATTCTAACAATTAGATTAACAAAAATCCTAGCAGATAGAAATATTCCAAGAGACTTAAATTATGCAGGTCTACTTGGTAACTCAATAGAGAAACCAATTCAGATTTTAAATACAAAAATAAAGGATGCTAAAGACAACAAAAGATAGCTTTAGTTAGAGCTACAAGATATAAAGAAGGTATTTGATTCAATATCACAATGAGAAAACTCAAGATCTCACAGATTACAATAGTATTTATATTAAATTTGTTTGAGAATAAACAGTTCAAAATTATTACTGATCTAGATACAGCACAATGCTTTAAAATAAACAATAGCATCAAGCAAGAAGAAGTAATCTTTTTACTTGTTTAGAAAATTTTTTATAATTTTTTGCTTTTGAGAATTCAAGAAGACCCTAGTCTAGGATATACTGTGACAGAAAGAATTCTATTTAATTATAGCTTAAATCAGGTAACCAACAAAAGTTAAAGACAAGTGGTTATTGTCTATACAAATGACATGATATAGATTGCAGAAAATAGATATCAGATAGAAAGAATAATACAAATTGTAGAGGAATTCTTCAAATTTAATGATATACAAATCAATAGAAAGAAATCTAAACTGATTATATACAATTTATCAAAAAGAAAAAAAACCAGAAGATTATTTTTAATAATGAATAGCTAAAAGAAGAAGAAAAAACAAGATTATTTATTTTTAGATGTATGGCTAAATGACAGGCTAGATAAGTTTTTGGTTAAAGCTAGTGCAAAGAAAATTATACATTTAACTGCATGGATCTTGAATTCTAAAATATTATCAGTAGTACAAGCTTCATATATAAACAATATAAACATAGTTCCTAAGCTTTGCTATATATTACAAGTTTCTAGACTAAAGCAAAAAATTATTGACAATTTACAATCACTACTTCTGGTGTTAATAAAAAATAAAATAGAACTAGCAAGAACTACTAGTAACAGTACAATCT